TGCTTTTTTCTCCAAAGATATAGTTTTCTCTGGATTCCATCCACACTTACTGATGAGCAGTACTAACAAGTACAAAAGTTCATTCCGTGAAATCATTACAAACTACTATTATTAGTCATTATAACATTCAATCTGTCACAGTACCTTATCGAACTATATAGGTTACACATCAGAACTTAACTACAAGACTAAATTAGTATATTATGTAAATACATACAAAGAAATTGACAAATAACTCTGAAAAATAAATTATATAATCTGTAAAGTAATTTTATTTTTTTGACTCAAATTAAAGACTACCGGTATAGTGTTGTGGCAATTGTCGAGTTTTACTTGAAATCATCAACGATCAATGTAAGACCACAATTAAAAATCTGAAAGCACTGGACGGCCATTTCGTCTTAGTTTGGGACTCCTTAGGACTGCTCGTCCACGATTCCGCGTGCGAACGCTTAAACTCGGGATCACTGGTTCGGCATCCAACGTCGCTAATGTTTAACTTCAGCCAATCCACCATGTGTCGTGACCATCTTCTATTGTCTTCGGTGTGTAACTGCCTCACACCCAAGACATTTGGACTCCACTGACCACGGCTTTTCACTAGAACTGAGAATTACCTCTCGAAGCTAGTCATTAGTAAGCACATGATAATGATCACTGTACGCATCGGGGATCGTGGATGCGCACTGTTGAAAAGTCCCATACTAGAACGAAAAGGTTGTCCAGTGCTTCCAGATTTTTAATGGTGATCTCACATTGATCGGTTCATGATCTCAACGTAAAATTATCGGCAAATAACTAATTATGTTATTAAAAGTAAAAGATTCCTTCACACAGCAAATCGTCTCGTTTTCATTGTCTTCTTTTTGTTTTTCTCTTCCATTTTAGTTACTACAACAAAATCTTCAACCATCATCATTTATTATCCAAAAAAGTGTAGGTTTTCACTGTTTGATGCACTGATTGTAAATTAATGATTCAGTTGTTTGTTTTTCAGAAAAAAATATTTGTACGAATAGATAGAAATTTTCACATGGTTTCCTAGATTTTATTGTATGCTATTCTCTTGGTAATTATTATGCGATTTATATTCAAATATCTGTTTATATGAATGAATTTTAAAAGATTATGGAAACCTGAGCTATCTAAATCATTTTATTCCTTTAACATTAGATCGTATTGTATTACATATTGTCGCTTCACCATACTTTTAAGTACCTCTTGATAAACATGGTAATCTGAAAACAAAACTAAGATCATTGATTATTAACTAATTGGAGTATATTAACATTCTAGTTTTATAACCGCTTAAGATAATTTACTGCACAACTATTAGTGTCTATTCTTTTTTAGCAAAAATTGTATCTGGATATTTTAAAACCTGTGCTAAACTACAGAAAATCTAGTGTTTATATAACAATTTTTTATCAGTTAGATTTTTTTCATTTAAGGTGATCATTTTTATGCTATAAAATACATTTAAATTTTATGATCTCCATAAAAAATTCGACAATAATTCTAATCATTAGCTAACATTATTCTTTTAAAACTATCTACCTTCATATCAAATAAACTTCCGAAATCATCATATTGAATATTACGAATGTTCACAACGTTTTGTTGACTGTAACTTTGATAGTTTATCTGAAATGGTCATTTGTCCAATTAAATGTCATACTCCTCATTCAATAGTTACTTATTATGTATGTTATATACAGTTATTATTATTATTAATTATTTATTATTATTATTACTATTGTTATTATTGTTATATACAATTATTCGTTTAATAACAAAAGTCAACAAAACATAGTGTTGCATACGAGTCAAGTTACTATTCTTCCTAGTAACATTGGAAAAGGAAATTGCAGGAAGTAACTCAGTAAAGTAAATCGAAAAAAGCAAACGAATGAATAGGAAAAGATTTGTTATCGAGAATGAAATATTTTAAATCTAGTGTCTGACATACCTGGTGTTCATCACGTTGCCTAAGGTTTCTAACCATTTAATTTCAGCATATTTTCTGTCGATGTGTACTAGAAAGTTTATACTTCTATAAGTATAGTTTTGAGATTTAGTTGTGTTTTGATCTATTAATTCGTTAAAAGTCGCCAACCTACTTAAAATATTTTCTTAAGCAACTATTTTATTTGTGTGGTACTCCATACTCAACATCGACATATACACTCCTCTTTCATTGCTAAATATCTTACTTAAGAGACGGGTAGTTTATCATCAGCGACTTAAACTGTTTACATGTATCCACACAAAACATCTTTGCGTTTTGAATTTTAAATACTGAGATTGCAAGTCTTTCTTATTTTTCTTGTCGTCAATTCACCAGTGATGCTTACTCGTGCATGTCATGTTGTGTTTTTTATCTATCAAACGTAGTTCACCCAACAAACAATCAAACACTCGATTAATTCTGACAGAATAAAAACTCGAAGTTCATAAGTTCTTTACGGAGTGACTTTAGCCCGAGAAACATTGTTTTCAATCATTCAGCTGATGGCGTTCCGTTTTAATACGAAAAGCTAATATCAAATAATCTGTTTACTTGATAACTATTACTTTTAAATGTTTGCACAGGACTTTAAATAAGTCGCCAATTATCTATATCTCCACGTGTTCCCATTTGAGTTCGCTAGCACTATATATATTAGGCGGTGTTGTACCAAATTGAGGTCAAACTTATCTAAGAGAATTAACAATATTTTGGATTTATTAAAATATGACTGCTTAAGAGTAAAACATTAACTTTATTAATCCAGTAGAAACATGTATTACAACTACTTTATGTGAACTTAAATCTGGTGTTTTCTTTCCAAAATAAGAGAGGTGGCTCAGATGTTAAGGCGTTTTTCATAATTTGAAGACAAGTATTTTCAATGATGGTCTTTATTAATTGAATTGCATCACCGTAGCATCAATTACTTTCTATTTCATCCAAAGATTTCCTTAGTTTTTACTTGCTTATACTACTGAACTTACTATGATTACTATATAAACAAAAAACAATAATGATAATCCTAGCCAACATTACTAACAATTCATTTTTAATAATTATCTTGGATTTTATTTTATTTTGTGCCGTCCATTATACCACAGCTGTTATTGTTATTGGTAATGTTTTCTTGTATTCCAGTTATTGTATACTAACCCAACTCCATATGATATAATATTCATTAAATATATCCTACACTATTGAGTGTGGACGACATAAATTTACTACAAAAGTATAATATTATTTACTTAAACAGTCGTTTGTATAATATACTCGGAAATTATTCTTGTGTCATTTCATTATTTATAAATAATAAACTATTGTGTGAAACGAAATACCATCCAACAGCTGTTATATTCACTGTATAAAGCTTAAATATGAATTTTATAAATCAAGAATGTTTAGTTGTTGTCTCTCCTGAGTTTTGTATCATTTAAAATGATGATTGAATTAAATTCAACTTATATTGTAAATGAATAATTCAACCATATCTACTTACGTCTGTCGCCCCTCGTGAAGGGGCCTAGGTAGCCCATCAGGATTCTCCATCGAACTCTGTCTTGGGCAATCCTTTCCAGTTGCTATTCATTCTTTTGATGTCTGCTTGCGATTCCCAACGCATTGTGTTCCTTGGTATTCCTCTTTTCTCTCCAAGATTCCAAGTTAGCACTTACTTCGTGAATTCAACCACGCACTACTTGAATTCGACTTGATTTTACAAGAACTTCTGTTTCTCATGATATATTAAGATATTCATCGAATACTAATAAAATTGATTCATTTTAAATGTGAATAAGATTTTCGATAAGAATTAAAACTCGTATAATGTTAAATTTGGGAATTAAGAAAGTGAGATGCTTTGTAAGATTAGGTTATTATTAACAAACATCGTCCCGACCGGGCTTGCCTATCGTGATGAAGCAACCGAGCTATACTGGCTGGAACAATCGTTCCTCAAGGTCCTACCATGTCAGACAGGTCGGTTGAAGAGCAGCAAGACTAAAAGCAACAAACCCAAGGTCCTAAGGCGAAGTCGTACTGCTGACTGTACAGAGGTGTGACAGCAGTAAGGTGTTCCCTTCAGACAACCAGCATGACAGCGATGCTGCCATCTCACAAGGAGGGGTGGGGTTTGAAAAGGTCGACCCTAAAAATGCACATCTCGCCTTATCCTATAGATATCCGTCTCCGGCGGTAAGGCCTCAACAAGTGCGGAGCTAACACAAAAATTACCCATAAAAAGGTAGTGTGTGACCGACCTCAGGCAGTTGTCCCTCGGGCACTGCGGTCACGCTCTCAGGTCACTAAGACCACCTCTAATCCAATTTCCTTTTCAGGTACCTCTTGAAGAACCCTTCCACGGTGTGTGAAACCGGGAAGTGATAACCGCCCTCATACCTCTAACAGCACTCAAGAACAATGAACAAACATTGTAATTAAACTAGATAATAGATGCTTTCATCCATTACGACATTTTAGGTTGAAAAGTACATAATCAACACTGGCCCAAAGTTAGTCATTACATTTAAAACGTTTCATTATCAGAAGCCGTGACCAGTAGAGTTCAACTCGGTCGGTTGTGAATTAGTAACTCACTGAAGGCAATGGTGGACAGTGGCGCAATTTCGTGGGTTGGTTGAAATTAGACATTAACACCATTGGATGCCAGCTCAGTGGTCTAAAGGTTAAACGTTCGCGCGCGAGACCGATAGTTCCTGGATCCGAATCTCGCGAGGCGGGATCGGGGATGCGCACTGCTGAGGAGTCCCACAATAGGACGAAACGGTCGTTCAGTGCTTCAAGGTTTTCCATAGTGGTTTAGCTTCCATTGACTCATGAATCCAACTATTAAATTAATATAATATTCACAATACTCCTTTCTGATTATAAACAAGTAACCATTGAATGATATAGGTAAACGGGAATTTCCTGTGTAACTTTATACAAGTCATAAATCATGTTTCCTTCATTATTCATTTTATTGTTTATACAGTTAGGAAAACGAGCAAATGAAGACTTCAATCAGACATTAGTAAGTTGAAAATTTCCTAGTTTTAAACACATACATGCAAACAAATAAATTATTATTATAGACTTATTACATAATCCTTCCTAAATGTATACGAATGTGAAATTTCGAATTTTCTGGGCACATAGTTACTAAAAACACATTCTTTAGCATGTGCACACGAATAACATACAAATCGGGAGCAACATAAAAATGCTTTATATACGTTTCAATATCTTGATGTGCATATTTTCCTCTTGCTTTGTGAAATATTGTATCATACTACTTGAAACCATGTATGTGTCACATATAAGGTTTGCTTTGTCCATTACTTGTTCACGAATCAATCATTTGTATTTTTATATAATAAAAATTAAGTATGTGTACATTTTGTATTGTGTACTTGAAACCATGACAGACATTTTATTTGTGCTATTTAAATTATTTATACGTCCAGTGAAGAACTTTTTCATTGGGACTCATTCTAATTTTGTGTTTCTATTCCGGGAGAATAATAATTTTTTCATTATGAAATTAAACTAGACATTTTGAAATCAGTTTCAAGTTAAGAGGCTCCTAACTTTGATTTTTTAGAAGCTTGAAAACAGATTTCTTATTGTCAAGAAAATGAATATCATTCACTTACGTCTTACCTTACGCTACAGTTATTTGTTAGTTACACTTCTACCAATAATAGTAGTAGTTTCTGTAGATGTACTGAACAGTAATAATTAATAATAATATAATCTTACCCATTTAAAAGTTTGTACACTAGGTTTTTTAGCGACACTCTGGATATATTCCAGTGTAAATTGACTAATTATACAAATGAACAATAAATATGTCATACGTGTTCTTTTGTTATCTGTTTGTCTATGTTATTGAAGAACGTACTAAATATCCGTATAGTGCTTCCACTTGTACATATATTTCTTACTCCACTTCTTAACCCTCATCATTATCTATGATTTTTTAAGTATTCTGGATGTTTGTGTTCAAAGATTTAAGTATTTGATTAATAATTGTATCATATTCTATGTCTAGAGAATAAATTATTCAGACATGCATAACTATGCTTAGACAGTTGAATACTTCAGAAGCTGTCCATATGGTAAAACGATATCTGTGTTTTCAATACTGTGTCGAACATTTGAATCCTGCTACACTTACATCAGTTTGAGCAACCGCATAGTGCCACTAGCCTTCATCCATAAAGTTTAGTTTAAAATTTTACTCGGCGGTTGCGTTATTTTAATATTTGTCATCTACTTATATTTTCCTAATATTTCACAAGAAATGTGTATATGTATGCCATTTAATTATTTATTTATTTTTCTACTCTAGGATATGGGAGTACTCCGACGTTCAAATAATAATAATATAAATACTGACTACCAAGAAGAACGCTTGTCAACATCCTTAAACCAAAGGAAATGTACAAATTCATTCATTACTACTGAAATACCAGATTATTCACTCAATAATATGATTGTACAACAAGATAATAATATTAACAATAATAGATTAAGCCATCATCCCATGCCTATGTCAACAAACAGTAATCATGACCATTCAGTTGCAATAAATGAAAGTATGAATAGTATTCACTCACCTTTATCACTATTATCTAGAACATCAGTAGTAACTGACATCCCTAACATATCGAATACAAATCATGATAATCAACGTGTTCGTGATTGGTTACGAGATGCTGTTGCTACTACAACTAATGAAATGAAATCTACTGTTATTAATAATAATACTGTTATTGCTACGACAACAGCTAATAATAATACTAATGAATTCATCATTGACAATAGTAACACTAAGAAACCTGGTTGTTTATCTGATCGCCCTATCCGAAGACATAATATTCAATCATCACAACTTCAAGGATTAATAGAATTCCCTGCTCCATCTGAAGATCAATTTCCAAATTTACAATTTAGATCAGTTTCTCATTCAGTTAATCCAAATCATAGTAATTCCGTCAACTTGATTCCTGGTAATACATACCAAACTTCATCATGCAATACCTCTAATTATCCAATACAATATGATCAAAATGTACCTTGTAAATTTACTGACAATATTATAACTACTGTATCGTCTGAATCTGCTACCAGTATTCAGAAAGAGTCTGGTGTAAATAATTCTGATGAATCTATTACTGATATACAACAAAACACCAACCTTAGTAGTGAGAAGTCATTTCAATTTTTCAACTCTAGTATGTGTGACGTTGTTAAACAATCCTCTATGCCTCCCACAATCTCATATGGTATATCACAACCGGTACCTCGCCAGCGTGCATTTCCTCGTACTAATCCGACTGTATCACGTCCCTCCGGTAATGGGACTTGCACCCTACCTCGACCTTGTACTATCCCATCGGAAGGGTCACCGATCTCTCTGTTTCCTACTTCTGTCGCTTTTAGTCAGTTTAGTGATACCACCTCTGCAAGAGCTTCAATGACCGACTCAAAAATTCCTATTATTCATGAATCAAACTCAAAAGACTCCTCTTCCTTCATTAAACAAAAATTGATTGAGCATATATCAAATGATCTGATACCCCAAGATATTTCCAATTCGGATAACACACCTAAATGTATGGTAACTTCTCCATCTCAAGTTTTAAATGCTCCTCTTAAGGTTTCTTGTTCAGTCAATGCAATCACACCTTCATACTGTTCAAATAAATATAATATTAAAGTATCTTCTGGGAATTATCTTCCTGTTGATAGTCCTCTATCCGCATCCCCTCATCCTTCTTCACCATTATCTCCCACCTCATTTTCAAGTGCATCGTCAGCTACTGCTTTGACAACTGCTAATTCTGATGAAAGTATAGATATGCCAAATAGTATGATGTTTGATTCGGAAAATTGGAATGTGTTCTCATCAGATATGAAAAATGATTCTAATATAGTTAAGATTAATAAGACTACTACTTCTCCTTGCCTTCTCAATACCACAACTGATTACAGTTATCACTTTCCTACTTTAGATGAAAGTTTAAATGAGGAAGAAGATTATTTGAGACCTCCTACACCTCCTCCACGTTCAGCATCGACATTATGTTCCCCAGGAATCCCTGGTGCTTTTTTCGTCAGTTTCCCGAATCATATGTCTTTGAATGCAATAACATCATCATTCGACCAAGCTGCAGGATACTTACAAATTAGTTGTCCCTATTCTTCACAACCTTGTCCTAGTCCTTCGTCTACACCTATTACAAATTTGTCAGTATCTTCTTCCTTGTCGCGAAATCATCCTTCACGTGCACATGTTATCCAACCGAATTCTCGCCGGGCTCATCGCACTCAGTATTACACTCAACAAATACATACTGACTTACATTGTAAGTTTTCGATATTTAAAGTGGACGATGATAAGTGATCTGTGGCTAGGTTACCTGGGTTAATTAATCATGGTACAAAAAATAGCTGTACTTATGATATTTTTTGTTTTCTGGACAGTTCTGCTACTTTTAATAATTCCTTTCGACCTAATTAATTGGTACACAAATGATAAGCCTTCGTTGAATTATGGCGATTGGGCTATAAGCTGTAACTTACAAGCCACTTTTTATTTCAGTGTATTATATTACTTTAAGAAAAATATAGCGAAGTAAATTTCTCAGGTTTTATAATCCCAACACTTGGTTAGATAATACAAAAATACTGTTTACACTGATTAACATCGTTATATAATGAATATTTCAACGTTTAGTATTTATGATACCTTATTATCCTGTAATGTGATTTATTTAAGCAGTCATCCAATCGATAAGGTTCAGCAAGATTCATATAATATTTTAAATAAACAAAATCATCAAGTAAGCTTGAAACGAATAGCTAACAGTATGCGTCATAAATTTAATTCTTTCGTTACTTGCTAACTTCACACCACTTATAAATAGCTAGAAATAAAAAAAGAGATGAAGTACTTAGTAAGTTGTATTTTCTTATGAAGCATTAATAGCCTTTTATCAGTATAGTTCAATATGTTCTTCAGATAAGTTGGTCTGTACACTACTACTCTTTTCAAATAATAATACTACATTGCAAAAGGATGATATATCTATCTTTCTGATTAGAAATACATATCCATAAAATCATCATGCTACGCTCTACACATGTGTACCGTTATGATAAATTAATAAAAATCGACTCGAGTTTTTTTAAAAATGATTTTCGCGTACCTTTACGTGATTTTATATTAATTCACTGTCAATCATTTAAAATGTGAAATTTTAAGAATTATTTGTTCTCTGCACTTGTGATGGCATTACACAATCATATGTATCAAAAGTGAATATAACAATAATCACTGTTATCATTGTCATGTATTGTTGTTCACATGTAATTCCGTTCTTGAAAAATGTTTACATTGTTTATTGTATGTATGATAACAGAATTTTTTCTAAAAAAATGCAGGGAAAATCGCGTGCATAAATTCTGATTTGAATTTATCCACTCTCTTGACTTTCAACTTATGTCGATATATAGAATGGCCCAATTATACTGTGCATTATGAATAGTTTGTAGTGATTTTATCAAATTTTATTCAAGTTTAAATGTATCATATTTTTTTGCGGCCCACTTATTATCAATTTCACTATTGATCGAATCATTCAACAATACGCAAATCACTTACTTAGTGGTGCCTACAATATCTCGTTGTCTTTTTGCTATATTGTATGTATTAATGTAATGATATTCATCTATATTTTAAATTTATTCAAGTGGTACTCTACTGATTTTTAGGAGTTCATATGGTACACTTCCAAATCTCTTAAGTCTATTGTTCAGAATCACTTTTGAAGTATTTGTATCTTCTAGTAAAAATTCTTGTTGCCTTAACATTAGAATGTTTTATGTTCAATACATTACTCGAACGTTTATTTATTCTACTGTACACAGGTCAACAAACTCCTTTTGCGATTTGTTTAAAGTTTAAAAAGACCGTAGCTGCTACCTTGACGCGGTGGTCGGGCTTGCCTATCGTGATGACCCAACCGAGCTATATTGGCTGGAACATATGTTCCTGTAGGTTCTACCATGCCAGGCAGGTCAATTGGAGACCGGTAAGACTAAAAGCAGCAACTCAAGGTCTGAGGGCGAAGTCGTACTGCTGACTGTAGAGGGGTGTGACAGCAGTAAGGTGTTTCCCTTGGACAACCAGCATCTGCAGCGGTGCTGCCATCTCACAAGGAGGGGTGGGGTTAGAAAAGGTCGACCCTAAAAATGTCACACCTCACCTTACCTCACGGATTTCCGTCTCCGGCGGTAAGGCTCTTTGAAGAACGGAGCTAACACATTAAAAACCTTCCACAAGAAGGCCGTGTGCGGCCGGCCTCAAGCAGTTGTCCCTTGGGCTCTGCGGTCACGCTCCCAGGTCGTTAAGACCAACAATAATCTGATTTCCTTTTCAGGTTCCTCAAGAAATACCCTTCCACGGTGTGGGCAGCCGGGATGTGATATAAGCCCTCATACCCGGTACAGCACACGAGACCAAGTTGGTCACATTCAAATCTGTTAGGATAGTCGGAAAAATATACCAATAATTATCGTGTTAAGTCTATGGTGGCCTTGGACCTTAAATGTACATTTCTTATTGGTCGATGTTTATTTCACTTGTTAAATATTGTGTAAATGTTGTCTTCTATTTTATGGTACGATGTGGTTTGTTTGTTTGGTATATAAATAGAGTATGTCTGAAATACAATGATTCATAACTCAGAGGCTGTGACTTGTGTTCTTGACTCAACTGCCTAGGACAGACAGCGGAGCAGGTCCAATCAGGGCACTAGGTCGTCCGTACGTGTTTTCCGTGTCACTGTGATCGATCGATAGAACGCTGCGTATCATAACCTGCAGTCCCACCCGTTACAACAAAATCCTTCCTACACCTCCTAATAACTCTCTTATCTCCACAAATAACCCTCCTCACGTCTCTATATCACCTCGTACCGCTAGTACAAACGATTCGAGTACACGGAACGCTATTCCTGGTCTCCTGAAACCACGCTGTAAACTACACGTAGAAGCGTTTAACGTCCGAACACTCTGCCAAATAGGACAATAGGCTTCCTTAGCTAGGACTTTAGAATCTCGCGCCATCGATGTGTGCTGCGTCTCCGAAACGCGCATACAGGATCCGAGTAGCGTCATTCATTTGACCTCACCATGCCAAAATAAAGAACCGACTCGATTCACACTTCGTGTATCTGGAAGCCCAGATGCTGCTTCTCGTGGACTCGCCGGCGTAGGTATAGCATTGAGTCCTAGGGCAGAACTAGCTATCTTAGAGTGGATCCCAGTGGACAGTCGTTTGTGCTCTGTCCGACTAAACGGAACAGCAAGAATCCGGAAAGATAGGGACACTCGTCGTTGCCTCTTCGTCGTCTCTGCCTATTCTCCCACTGACTGCAGCTCAGATGATGTAAAATATGAGTTTTACGGAAAGCTTTCCGACCTTCTCCGAAAAGCTAGGCGCTCTGATGTAGTAATAGTGGCCGGTGACTTTAATGCTCAAGTAGGTAAACCAAGCGAAAGGGAAAGACATCTAGGTGGATCTTATGGTGTCGTGGCTCAAAGATCAGATAATGGCGACCGTCTGTTGTAGCTATGCTCAGATAACCGCCTCTTTCTTGCAAATACTAACTTCAAGCATAAGGAAAAACATCTTTTAACATGGCGACCCCTTAATTCGTCCCAACGTTACACCCAAATAGATCACATCGCTATCAGCCACCGATGGAGGGGCTCGATAGAAGACTGTCGCTCATTCTGGAGCACATGCTTAGATTCAGATCATGCTCTAGTACGAGCGCGTATCTGTCTGCGTCTTACTGGACGTAAGAAAGACGCTGCAAGTAAACCTCTTAGGGCCCTACTTAATGATAGTCAAACTAAGAGTATATTTCAGGAACAACTAGAAAAACAGTTAGGCAGCCATGTATGTGATGCCCACCCCGAGGCAGCATGGAATGATATCCGAAAAGCTGTGGAAACAGCAGTGATATCTGCTAGTTCGGTAAACCGTAAGGTTAGGGAGCAACACTGTATCTCAATGATATAGGAGTAGGTTGGAAGAAAGCTAGGGGTGGCCAGACCAAAACATGGCCCCAAGTCCATGAAGTCACTGACAAATGGACTGAGCCATGTTGGTAGGTGTAGACTACCTGGTTGGGGACCGCCAGATGATAGCAACCGGATGGTTAGAGACCCTGAATGACATGGCTCAAAATCGTTTGCAATGGCGCAGGTGCATCCACTCTTTGTGTTCTCCCAAATTCTAATCTTCTGAACTCTTCATGTCCCTTTCTTTTTTCTCTTTCCAAATTTATTTCACTGTATTATACTCTTTAAATAACATCTCCAAACCGTAATCTTCCCGATTACTGCTTATACTCTTGCTACCTCTACCACTACGGGATTTGAATCGACAAGTGCATCTCTGTGCTAATGTGGTGTGGTAACTCGAACTGATGTACGTACGTACGAAGTTCTATGTTGTTACTGACTGGCTAACTTAAAGCTTTAACGACCGCCTCACATGAATTTCTTATTAAATTTGATCTCCCAAAGTTGTTAATAAAACTTGAGGAAAACTCTTATAGAGTTTGTAAAGCAGTGCATTTTAGTGGGAACAAGTCACTAAAGGAAACTTCTCTTTTCAAACGAATCAAGCATTTCAGTAACAGTAGTGAAAACAACAAACTTCGTATTTAAACTACTTTACTCAGACAATCTAGCATCTTTTAAGCTGTGTTAATGTCTACTTTTCTCAAGATTTTTATTTTCCTATCTAGAGATCTGAATCCATCTTTTTTAAGCTGAAATGTAGACTTAAGAAGATTTATAATTTAATTTATTGTATATTTACTTTTCATCACCTTTCTTGTATCCAATGTTTCCTACTAATTTTTAATGTTCATTGTCATGATTATATACACAGCTCTTCCAAACAGTAAAGAAATGCAATTCAGTGAAAACAATGTTGTCGATCCTATATGTTTTATCCCACCAACAGATTCGTTTAACTCCCAACAGTCCAGATTCGTTATGACAAGTCAACCAAATATACAACTTAAAAGTACAGTTTTACCCAACACTGTAGTTTGTAGTACAAGTGGTGGTGCTAGTGTGTGGGGTACTAAGAATATCCCCATATGGGATGGTAGTAACTGTTTTAACTCTAATACTAGTGAGTCAATTCAAATAGTTGATTCCAATGTGAGTAAAACCGCAGTGATGGCTACGGTTGTATCAACAACTACGAAAGGATATTCAACAGCTAATCTGATGAATAATTTTCCACGTTCTGCTTCTGGTGGTTTTATTGGCCCTGCTGAAAGCACAGATTCATCGTCGGTGTGGACTTGTGGTTCTTATAACAATAACAATAGTAATAATCGGTCACGTCCTACACCACTTCGTAAAAGTGCACAACAAATTTATGTTCATCCAGGTCATCCAGCATTTTCTTCATTTATCGGACCATTTGACTGGCCGAGTCATTTATTTAAAGCTGACCAGGATATATTTACATTAATGAGTTGGACGAAGGTAATCTGACCTATTTATTTGTAGTTTCCAGTTTAATGTTAGGTTTTTTTGCCATCGTACTATACATAGTTATCAAAAACGGCATTATGTCTGATTTCATAGAATAAGACAGTAAACATCTAATGTAATATGGCGTTTATATTTTCTAGCGGTATGACGTTCATTATATCAGCTTTCTGCACACACTCGACAGTTCACTATGAGGGCTAGTGATACTACTCGTTCGCGGCAGTCAAAGTAAGTGAAGCGAGCCTAGAACCTGGGCCTCGGTGGCTGAAAGTCAAACGCCTCAACCATCAAGCCACCGCTTCTTTAAATAAGTAGACTTATTTACGAAAAAAGTAACTCAACTAACATTTCTAAAAGTGCAATGAACAGTACTCATTCCCACATTTTACTATATTCTTGACTAATTTCTCTCCCTTCCTCTCTGTATATTCCTGTCCATCATTACCAAAAGCAATTAAAAAAGTGTCCTGCAGCGAAATATTACATCTAAACCAGTGTAAACATATTTACATGTATCTGTATTCACGAAATGGTTCTACCGTAGTTAATTAGTCGCATCGGCATTCAAGATTATTTTGATATAGCCCACTTTACTATTACTACTATTTCATTCATTATAAGGACCCGGATACATAAAAGAACGGGTCTTACTATAGCATTGAATAATTTCCTTTTATTTGTATACTAAGACTTTAATGGGTAGTCCCATATTTCCTTGAACTGTGTAATGTTAATAGCAATTAGATTAATCCAATCACTTATTTGAAACAGTTATATTCTTTAGTTACTAAAATCATCTCATTTAACACCTTTGGATGCCGAGTCAGTTATGTCCAAACTAGACATTAGGGTGGAAGAATAGAGTAAAAGAGGTTACGTTTAAATTACAATAGCTGTGGAACAGAAATTGGTATGGCAGTGAATCATGCATCAAACGAAAGTGTATGGCTTATAGAATAAACTAGGGGTAAAACTAAGTATCAGAAGGGGTTTGTGGAGATTTTAGAAATTTTCACAGATTGAAATCATGAGTCAGTTGAAGCTAGACCACCATTGAAAACCTGGAAGCACTGGACGGCCGTTCCGTCCTAGTATGGGACTCCTCAGCAGTGCGCATCCACGACCCCGCACCACGCGGGGCTCGAACCCAGGACCTACTGGCTTCGCGCGCGAGCACTTAACCATTAGACCACTGAGCCGGCATCCAACGGTGTTAATGTCTAACTTCAACCAATCCACGAAGTTGCGCCACCATATACCATTGTCTTCAGTGAGCTGATATCTCACGCGCGAAGCCAGTAGGTCCTGGGTTCGAGCCCCGCGTGGTGCGGGATCGTGGATGCGCACTGCTGAGGAGTCCCATACTAGGACGAAACGGCCGTCCAGTGCTTCCAGGTTTTCAATGGTGGTCTAGCTTCAACTGACTCATGATTTCAATCTGTAAAACTAAGTGTCAGTATTTTATAGACCTCGAATTAAGTGAAATAATGTTCTTAAAAATAGCTTCCGTTGTTCGTTGTGGCTTCTTTGTTTCTCTGTTCATATCACCGGATTATGAAAACACCAAGAAGATAAGCTTTTTTTCCATTTATAGTTTTGTAGTTTTTCAGGATTTTCCAAATTAAGTACGTATTTAAAATGGCATTCATAATTTCATATGAGTTCTTTACTTAATAATGAGAATATTCATTTTATTGATTATAATATATTTAGTATAATATTCATTTCTCAATTTACAATACTTGCTGAATTCATTTATGAACTATACCGTACTATTGATTTTTGTTCATTTTAGTCTAATTTTTCAAAACGTATATTGGTATCTTCGGAACCTGCGCTAAAGAAACAAGTTGCTCAGTTGTTTAAAGGTAACCCTTTTTTCTATATTCATGTATGGTAGCGTTGTAACAGCAGTTGTTTGTACGTGTACAGTTAATATAGTTAAAACAATTACATAACACTAAGTTATCCCTTCGTTTTTTTTTACACTAAAAGCCATATTAGTAAGTAAATAGATTTATCGATACAACAAATAATGCTTGTTACAAAATGATAATCGCATAATCTTATTAACAATAAGGCTTATTATTTAGGGTAATGCAATAAATTGGCCAAGTAATCTTTTCCACTCATTTTACTACTTTGTACTGTAATTATTAGTAACATTTCTGAAGAAATTTTCATCTATCACATGAATAGTTCAAAGTTATACTTTAAGATTTTATCTTATTTTTTTGTAAACTGATTCTATTCTAACACTTTCTATGTACTATCCCACAAGAAAATATCAGTGTAAGTGTTAAACTACTTACATTTTCTTTTTAATTATTTATTTGAAGTGTATTTAGTACTTAACAAGTACCTGTTTCCTATGAATTATTCTTCGTTCAGGCCTTTTGTTCAAGTTCCTTTATATATAGGCACATCCCATAGTTGAGTTTCCTGTGTAAATTATCAAGTTTATGCACATATCAATCAAAGGAAACTGATGGTGATGTTTCTTAATTTTCTGAAGTAGTATCTCTTCGATTCTTCACTATTTCGTCTTTGTGAATCGTCAGTAACTTTATCTAGGCTTCTGTTTTGGTCTCTTCACATTTTTTACGTAAAAAACCTTATAACAGTATGTGAATACGCATAAAGTTTTAAAATTTGTTCATATTCGTGTTTACCAATTTATTTTAGTAACCTCATGCAAATTCATGCAATGGGTTATCGTTTTATACTTAGTATACTAACTTCATTAACACTGAATCATTTTCGGATCTTGCTATTGCTTGGTGGGCAGTTGTCAATTTCCAGTTTCTCACATCATGGAAGGATACCTTTTGAGGCACCTACTAGGGAAATTGGATCAACAGTGGTTTTGGTAACGTGTGTGTGACTCCAGAGCCCAAAGGTTAACTGTATGGGACTGGTCGCTCACGACCTTTCAGCGAACCGTGCTCGATGTGTTCACTTTGTGTTTTAGAGGTCTGATTGCTGTTGACAAAATCCTGTGACACAAGTCAACTAAATTGTAATAGACTGGGCAATTAAACCGCAGTCTTCACTTTAAGTTTCTAATTCATATCATTCAAAACATTACAATATATGGTTACTAGTAAAACACTCAATTCGTGGTAAATTTCTCATCCCCATAAAGCGGCGTATTTAATAAATATAATTGTTTCATCATCATTCAAGTGTATTTATTATTTATTATTACTATTATTATTTGAACACATAGATATCGGTACAAGGAGGCACCAAATACATATGTGCCACACAAATCTCATTTGATATGTGTGAGGGCTGTGATACTAGCCGGGTGCCCAAACCGAAGTAGGTAGTTTTCTTAGGGGGCCACGCCCGGAGCCTTCGCCTTAAAGGTTTGATCCACAAGTCAGTGGAGCATTGTAAGGAGATGCAGTCCCATGGTAGCCGGTGATCAACGATTGGTTTGTGCGCCATTTGTTCCCTCAAGATACTGGAGCCCATGTGCACCATTGGTTTGGAATGAGGGTTTTCCAACTCCCCTAGGACGACTCTCCATGTCCACCAACCCGGTTAAAGCCCCGGACAGTCGCTTTTCGCCCTCTCAATTTCGTAAATAAAAGTAATGCTTTGAGAAGGCAGTGAGTAGGACTTCCCTGGCAGTGGTTGTATGGACGTCACTATGTGAGAGCACTTCGACAGGAAGAGCTGATTCTCCCCACTCTCGGCCGTACCAGGGCATTTCATATGAACAGTTCGATAAAGCGTTTTTTCTACTTTTAAAAATCCACTTTAATTTAGAAAGAAAGTTGTTACTTTGACTATTATGCAATTTAATCGGTGCATTAAATATCGCATTATGAAAAACAAACAATTATTTGTCTTTTTGTATACTCTTGTATATTGTTCATGGTTTTATATCTGCTCTCTTCTATTTTGGACGTTTATATGTCTTACTTAAAGTGTGCGATGATAATGTTATTGAGAAAGACAGTGATGAAAGCTTCACAGTTAAACTATTTCACTGAAAGGACAAAACAGCTTTAAAATCTCCATCTTGAGCTACAATTAGTTTGCATTGTTTCATAGTGTTTATTCTTTGTTTATCTAATCAGTTTAATAACGTCACTACGTCTTTCATATTGCTCATTATTTGGTTTTTTTAATGTTTAATTAGTGTAGTTTTTTTACCAAAATAAATAAAATACAGTCTTATATCACGTTCTAAACTTTGTTTATCTTTTATGAACTTGGAATTATCATAATTCTACTTGTAGTCATTAACTGTAGTATTTTTCATCAGACAATTGTACATCTGATGATGTGGTTTTAACTATTATGTCATGATCGGTTAATTTTTGATCAACAGTTTGTGTAATATTTCTTTCTATGTTTTTTGTCTACTAATTCAAAATTTCCTCTATACAAACGGAATTGAAACGATTAATTGTTAAAGATTATAAATCTTGAGTTTATTGATAAATAAGTCGGACATCAATATATCATGTATATGTGTTTTATCCATGCTGATTTCAATGATCAGGTTCAGAAAGCAATCTATCTACTCCTGATTTCATCGTATTGTAACTTTCATAAGATGATACGGAAGTTGTGGCTACAAAAACTGTTATTGACTTTGAAGATTGTTCACACTGCAGAGTAATTTTGCCTTGACACACATTGACAACAAGACAACACCGAATAGTTAGGTCATCCTAGTGTGAGACTCTATCAATTCGCACCCCCTGCCTCCTTTAGGGACCAAACCGGAGAACTTATGACCTCGCGGCAAGTGTGTCACTTCTCGACCACTGAGTTAGAATATAACTACTTAATCCCACAAGGAAGTCGCTATAATAAGTAGTGTTTCTATGATGATTCTGTGCGAAATCTAACTTTCATCGCTAAAACGTTAGTTGACAATTATGTCTAGCATTAAATGTCACACGAAACGTAAGTAGTGATTAGAATAAAATATGAAACATTTGTTGTGTTTTAGATCGCCGATGTTTATTTCTATTGCGATTTAAGTGATTGTCAAAAGTGTGTCATAATTTAGATATTAAGCTTAAATTTCAACGTTATGCTGATAATTGTCTTCAGACTAGTAAAATAAAAGAAAGATCTTACCGATTGTTTAGAAAAAAACCTGGATTGGATACCAGTAAATTAGCGATTCTAATTAATGTCTGCGATTTAAAGCACAATATTGTTTAACATAGGTTCGTTCGTATTAGGAACTATATCTGCAAATTCTTCGGAATCCTGAAAGAATGTAAAAAACACCTGCCAATTAACAGTTAATAGAAACTTCCTAGGGAGTTATGGTAAAGCGGTGGATTGTGTGTCATATCCTGATTAATTAATTACCGATTTAGAAAATTTTGAGCAGCTTACATAACATCATAGTCAGTCACAAACCTATCAGTATCCTTTTTTTCTGTGCCTAAACTAACCTTGAAAGTAAAACTTCTCTTCATCCTTTTCGATTTTTGTCCTCTACTTGAAGTGTATGAAATTTCCTACATAATAAGAAGTAGTTATCAGTGTCAAGCGTTCAAGTAAGAGACATATCGCTTCTTGTATCAAATAACTTATACACATTTGCAAGGAGATTAATATTTTAGAAAAACGCTGGACAGTTTTCAAATCTGCATTATGGTTCTTAGAGATGTTGAACATTTGGCTTTCTTTGTGGATCTTGGATTAACTTTACCCAGATACATTTTTTTCATACGAAGAACAAAGGATTAGTATTCATCTGAATAAACTCTCTTACTTCTTCATACTGAATATTACAAACTTTTGTTTAGTTGTCGGTGATTAATTATTATATTCGATGTTTGATCTTTGATTACAGGAGCATATAAAAATCTCATATACTTGTTAGAGTCTACAGCTCAGTAATCACAAAACGCCTCAACATAAATTCTTTAACTCTATACACTACAGACTAATTTTGTCGACGAATTAAACTGCTCTATTGCGGAAGTACTACACTATAGTATTACGCTTACTGCTGCAAATGAGAAATTCAAACCATATCACCATTGTTATTGCCTTCCTTTACTATGTGGTTCTCTATATAGAATTATTTGACTCAAGGATTCCAAATGTAGACTTGATATTGTACGGTGTTACTAGTAGAAAAGTGCATACTTTTAACGCCTCATAGGATTCATATTGTTTTATTGAGTTACCTAACGATAGTTTTATGTATGAAAAGTATTGTGAAAATATATATTTCTAGTGGAATCCATTATTCAGTTATTCTTCTCAATTCTACTCAGCTCCAGTGTAGTTCTCCATCTTTATATTAATATTTTACCATTGTCAATGTTATGTTCCCTGAGCTAGATAGTTGAATTGCGGCGTGGTTATTGTCATTTTGGATAACATCTTCAACGCCTACTACATGTAAATATTGTTTAGAACATCAGTGAAAGTTGCATAATCTAATCATCTTTTGGCTCAGAGCATCCATATGAGCCGCATATTCTCCTCATCATTTTAAAAATATGTGTAGTGCTACATTTTTTTGGTAGGGGAGAAACTAAAAATGTGAATGTATTTCGCAACATTTTTATTCATAAAATCATGTCTCTACTCATAAATATCCATTAGATTTCTCATGAGAAATAATCAATTACTTTTCGATGCTGCGCTTTGATAACAATCAAAAGTACATAGTAAAACATATGTAATTTCGAAGTATTAGAAATCCCTATATATATGTATTATTCTTATATTGCATGAAATTAAGCTTGTTGATTTAAAAGTATGCACTTCCAAACATAAATCATTTGTTGATGGATATAACAAGTCTAGTATTGTGAATAATTGATAAATCACTCAGACGAAACGGTAATTTATTCTATCATCAGTACACATAGTGTTTTTAAAATATGCCCAACAAATCATATTTTGGTTATAATAATGAAGTTTGTGTTTGTATGAAGTTTTTATAAAGTCAAATAATTCATGTATTATGATACAGAAAAGTTAGTTTTGAATTGACGTTTTTATAATTTATTGCTTTCAGTAGCAGGTCATAAAATCATACCTACATATAAAAATGAATTTGGGTCGTAGTGAAATGTTTTGTTTTTACGTTCACATTTTTCAGCTGATCATTCAAATAAATCCAACATTATGAAAATCGATGAACACTCGGTTACTTCATCCCAGTATGATAATGTGATGTGGCGACTTACCTCGATGCATATGATTGCCACGTTATATATCTCTGACAACTGACTGTTTAGTTCAGAAGTATTTATTGGCTGCTCTTACAGATAGTTTGATGCTATTCCATCCCGCAGTAGGGCAATTGTTCTCTTGTGTCTTATAAATATGTTATTAAGTAATGTGGACGTTTCAAATATTTCTTATGATCTATGGCCGCTCACCAATATCGCGTGACAAAATTATCAATCGGAATCCGTTTCAGTATTAATAACCTTGCATCAACACTAAGCTCTTATTCGTTCTCAACTCAGTAGCTTTTCTCCCTACCCTGCCAGTTGAGTTCACAACACAGGAATCAGCCTCCACCGTGCGAATGTTATGTTTCAAGTATATGTAGTTTATACGCAGACATACCCGATCACATCACACTATAAAATGAAAAAATAACAATTATACATGATTACGCCAAAATATGTCTGTGAGTAGGGTAGACTGTAAACAATGAACTGTCAACAGATTAAGAATACTAAATCATACAACAGTAGTAGGTTAATCTAAAGCCCACGATAAAAGAAATATATATGATAATCTAGTTACCTAATAACTACAGTAAAATATATTTAATAATAGTCTATAAATTAATCCTAGCAGTTACCATTCCTTTAGTCTTCGTCGGATATAATGAGACCTATACAATGTTTGTGTACATATTTTATTAGGCATATGATAGTACATTGTAAACACAGCTTACTCATTATCATTGTGTTCATGAATTGTCGCAATTTGTGTTTGATTTTTCATAAATTCGATGGAACCTTTATCTTCAGGCATAAAATGCCTTATCACTGGAACATATTTGATAGTTTATCATAGCGGAACGCTTAGTAATAAAGTATTTATTGACTTCTCAAATATCTCTAAATGCATGTAAATATGATGTGAACATATTTCTAGCTCTTCGCTTCTATGAATTATTTAGAAATAAAATCGGAAACAAGATAATTGACTGAATTGTGTCCAACACTTCCTAGCAATTTGTTTAGTATTTTTATAACACTTAGTGAATGTTCAGTACGTCATGAAATTTTCTATCTGCAAGTTTTATTTGATTCTTGCATAAAACTATACTTTTGAACGCTTGAAATGAAATAAACGATTACACATTATAGAATTTTGTATATAAAATTCAATAATTTACTCAAAATATAGTCTCATGTATTACTTAAATAATTTAGTTTTAACTGAATGACAATTGTTAGTAGTGTAACATTTCAACTAGAATGATGTTTGTATTCCATTGCATTACAGTGATTCAATCATTTATGGGTGATAGAAAAGCACGTCTTAGTCTGCCAGATTATGGTTCAATTATTATTCATCGTGCATTAAGTTCGGTCAATTTACGCGACGAATTATATGCTCAATTGTGCAAACAAACGACAAGTAATCCGGATGTGTAAGTTAATGATATTTTAAAAATCAAATGTATCAATCACTGTAGCAGCAATCAATCTACTGTGACTTTGTGTTATGATAACGATCTATGTTCACAATCTTATCTGCTTATCCATAATCTTTTCGCTTATATTTCTCATTTTATTTCGTAAAATTACATAGTAATAAATCGTAAAACTGTCTGATCTGTTTTCTGTGTACCCTGTTCAACACTTTCAAACGTATTCAGTTACTTCTAAAATAAGTTGACTATTACAGACACAAAAACACTGAACTACTTAGTATAAATGTCTTCTTTTAAGAAAACCATAATTTCTCTTTTAAATTATCACCTACTGTTATTATGGTATTTCAGTGAATCTTCTCCATGATTCATTACACTACTCCCGTTGAAGAATATAAAGATATTGGAGTGTAATATCAAACAATATTTTCAGAAGTCTATATTACAAATTTCATTTACATTATTCACTTGATAGCCTTAGTCTTAACTTACGTAATCCTACATACAAATCACACTGTTGTTCTTGAATTATTAGCCTGCATTAGTCATCCTTGACCTTGACGATTGGTTAACAAACATCAAACGTCTAACGACCAATTTAATAAGGTAGAGATGTGCTTAGTTTTACAGACAATTCGGTTAGAGTTCAGTGTTAGTTCACTATCCTTACACACGAAAAACTTTTTTAATTCAATCAATTTTGATTATCATCGTTATATTTCCCTAACAATTCGTTATCAAACAATTTATACATCCATGTATTATAAAATAATTTTGTTTGTTTCAACAAATATCTCATTTCTTTACATGTAATAAGGTCATTTTAATTGAAACAAACCGTATTTTCACATTAGCTTCAAATCACGATAAACTAAGATATCTTAAATGTATCAAACAAGTATTATATATTTTAATCAGTAATACCAGTAGTAATTCGCATATTTGATCATCTAAGCCACTTGACTATCCACTAAAATAATTTTGTTTATATAATTTTGCACAAGAATTATATATATTTTTATTATCATTATCTTTGTTTATCTATTATTGTTGTGCACTATGAGTATATGCTCTCTTGATTTACGGCAAACGATAATGACATCTGTATAGAACAGTTGTTTATACTTTTCCCATAAAAAATAGTCTCTTATGTAATAGAATTCATGTAGTTTTTTGCATTAAGCTTTGTATATTCAAATTATGTTTATATTTGATTTTGTCTGTTTGATAAATGTCGATACAGTACGTAACAAAATTCAATGTTTACGAGACATGTGATTCTTTAAGTACATTATACAGTTGTTTATATATATATATATATATATATATATATATATATATATATATAATCTGGGTAAATATTGTAATTAACCATATATAACGAAAGGAATTTTAACATGTCTGTAATAAAGTAAGAGCATAAAGTAACAGTATACTGGGAAGCTTTACCAGTAGACTTAATTATAACAGCGGTTACAAATTTAATATCCATATAATTTCACTAATGGACTGTCATTTAATTGTCAGTATGGATTTTATAGGCTTTGTCAGAAGGGCAAATATTTTGGATTTATCGTAAATACATTAATCTTGGATTGGTTTTACTGATATTGTGTGACATATCTCAAGATCACTGACAATAGTATAGGTTCATTCACTGTATCTTCCTTTGAATCTTGCTCAAGTTTCACCACTTTTTCATACACAGCTTCTTTCTGTCTTTATTACCATATTCCCAACTTTTGGTTTTTCACATAATTGCTGCTACATAAATCCGATCCCTTCGCTATTCATTTTGTTAATTTTATCTCTTCATAGTTATTTGGTATAACAGTACACATTTGTGCCAGGCGCGCTACATTAATTATGACCGACTGACCAGAGAATTATAGTCACCACATATTCCGTACATTCTCACTGTTTTTATTTTTTTCAATAAAGTGCCCGTTTCACGCTATCAGTTTCAGTTAACAAATTGCCTACTACAGCATCAAATAGAGTTTTTCATAAATCCAACTCTTCAACAACCTAATCACTTTCCGATAATAAATAAAATCCTAGATTAACCAGTAATTCGTTACAAATTGTTTCAAAGAAATCAATTCTATAGATGTTTTTATTCAACTTTAATTTCTAACATCACAACAGCTGCCAATATAATTCGTCTTTTATTTTATTTCTTTCTGTCGCTGCATACCCTTCTCACCCTATTCCACACCTATATTTCATCCTGTCTACTACTACGTTGTTAGAGTTATATAGTGTATACTTGAGACATTTTACTCATTCTAGGTGAACACCCTTTTGCCTATTTTTTTTTGTTTTGACTAGTTACGAATTGCACAGTAATTTGCAATGATAAACGTTTTTTTTAAACCATCGACAATAATTCTTTGTTTGCATTTAAGGTCAGTCTGTTATGTTGCCTATTGTTTTGTTTTTCAAAAAAAACTATCAACATTGTTTACATTTTAATTCTACGTATTCATTGTATTATATTTTCTTTAGGAAAAGTCTTACAAACGGCTGGGCTCTTTTATGTGTCTGTCTTTATTACTTCCCACCAAATAGTAAATTTCGTGATCATTTATATGCTTATCTTCAAAGTAGAGCGGATGCATCAGTCATTTTGAACAGTAATACAATCAGCACAACTGCCTTTACTACAACACCGACTAATTTTAATCAAAATGATATTGTTGAATTCAATAACCATACTGTATCAACTGAATCCAGTCTTAAGACAGCCACAGCAATCGCTTCTGGTTTGAATCCATTCAGTGCTAATAACAGTAATAATAATCTTATGGATAAATACCAACAGTCAAATGATTTGTTAACTAATTCAAAACACTTCACTTCACATTCTAATCATAATTATACAATGGGAATCGCATTAGGTCCATGGGACCGTCCAACTGCAGCTCATTTTGCACGTGTTGCACCTAGATGGTTTGTTCGTTCATTAAATGTTGGTGTACGTAAAACATCGGTTGGTCCATCGATTGAAGAAATATGCCATGTTAAGGTATATGATTAACTTTTTCAAATGTTTGGTACAAGTTATTTTTCTACAAAGCTTTTTTATTCCGCATTTGAAATTTTTTCTACTATAAAAGTTACTTTTTCACTAGTGTTACCATCATGCACGAATCTGCGGGTTTTTTATTTCAAAAAATAATTATTATTCAAGGGTTAATTTTAATTAGTTCTATATGCAATATATGTTCTGTTATAGTTATGTAAGCAACATCATCATGTATAAAACGTTAACCGTCTGTTACTGTATAAACATCCCGGAACTTAATACAGAATGGAGATGATGAATTTGTTTTTATTAGTAGTGGGGAAGTCATACATACATATATTACTTTGGCTTAAAAAGTAGCTTTTCTCTGTGAGAAATTATTCCGATTGCTTTTACTACTACTTGTACATTTGTAATTTAATCATACAAAAAATTGAGTTTAGAAAAACTATTCTGATATACCCATAGTTTATTTATAGGCCGTTAATTAATTCATGTATGACAATCATGCATAATATATACTACCTCAAAACTAGAGGCTCTGTATCACAATTTGATTATAAACGAAATATCAATTGTTAAAATTAAGTCATTTACTCTACTGTGGTTTTCATCAACTCCGGTAGTATCCCTAGCCCGTACGCTTATAGTGTGGTTCTATGCTCGATTACCGAGTAAATGAGTTTATTTAATTTAGTTAAAACTAACTGATGTTGTGTTAGTCACCGTCACCACATCCAAGTCAATTGTGGCTTTCACTTTCGCGAAATTTTTTAATTCCATATCCTTATTTTCTGTTTATTTTTAGTAAACAACATAATACAGTGTACTGACTATCTATTTAAAAAAATATCAACATGATACAAATCATCGTGTTTATTACAGTGTTTATTGTTAACCTTTATTTTACAATTATGTTTATTCATTCATTTGTATCCTGAAAATTTCTGTAGTTAAACATCGTCTACCTAGATTATGTTTCACTTCTTGTTAGTGATGATAATAATAAAGAGGTTTGATTGTCAGCCTCCTTACACAACGTTTGTAATGATTTGGTGTTTCGATCATTTAGAAATCAGCCCAGACAAAGAAAAACGTTTTGTTGATGCCCATTTTGTGATACGAAGATCAAATATTAACAGTTGAATTAGTAGTAAACACTTTCCTGTAGAGTTCCCCTTACTTTCATTATTAATATATGCGTCGATTTGCAAGATACACTAGCCTGCCACTTGAATTAGTACAATAGTTGAGAACAACTGACATTTTGTCATAAACTGTTGATGATGATCATATAGGTGGATTCACCTTTTAATTGCCCTATATCTGATTCCGATTAGATCATATGGATGATTGTTGTCTAAATAAACATACTGACTGTTCTAGTATATGATTATCGACTTGTGTTAGTGAATAGCGGAATTAAAAAAGCCAAGTACGAGCATGGAATTTTGAATGTATATATTTTATACACTCATTGATGTGAATAGACAATCAGAAGAATGAAGAGACGAGAAGAGAATGAAGCAAAATGACGTGCAGTGGAGATGGCGTATGAGCTCACTCAGTTTAATCAAGTGTTAATCAGTATTTATAGTCATATATAAACAAATTACAGACATGTGATGTATGGGATAAGAAGGACACACATATACGCCCATATAAGAACAGTCAAGGTTGATAAGTGAATGATTACCAAGGTCAAAATATAACTCAAGAGGAATGGATAGATTGGCCTGTCCAGAACCTAGAATAAGTTATATGGGCTTAACATAGTAACCAACACTACAACCTAAGGTCTATTTTCTTAGAAAAATCTCCAAGTTATTTCATGAGCTTCCTTTTTCCCTTTTTTATTTAGATTAGAAAATTTTATGTGTAAATGTACGTGTTTGTTAGGTGGTTGAAGGTATATAACAAGATACCCTGGAATGAAGCTTCACCCTACCTGGTGCTCGTCAGCATTATGTATCTGAAATATTGGTAACAATGACTTGCTTTCTGCGATTCGAACCCACTTCACTCAGCCTTACGGTCTGAAATGTTACCATTAATCGATATGGGTCACGACTGACCTCTCGTATTATTGAAATTTTCATAACCATTCTGTTCGGAGTTTTTTGTCGATCACTTACAACCACCTTACATTCTCAACATTATGCATACGATATAGAGTTACTTAGACTAGTTGCCAAATTACATCGTGATCAATATAATATATACTGGTCACTACTCAGTGATCAGTCAGTTGTATATACACTTTTACGTACACTTCTTTATCACTGTTTCATCAATTACTTTTTGTTTTTTGGTTATTATCTCTAAGGATTTTTTGTTAAAACCATGTATATTTGGTAGTTCCTTGGATGAAATGATGCAAATACAGGCATATAGATTTCCTCATTTACGTTTACCATGGATACAGATATTTCTCACTGAAGAAATTCTACGGTTAAATGGAGCACGGACGGAAGGAATTTTCCGGTGAGTGTTGTTATTCCTTGTTTCTTTTTTTATTTTAGTAAAATGGAAAATCATCTTCATATAGAAAAAATGGGCACTCCAAAACGTGCTTTCTAAAATTTACGAAATATAACAAGCATTCACAATCTATTTTAACTAATTACCCGACCGTAGCTGCTACCTTGACGCGGTGGTCGGGCTTGCCTATCGTGATGACCCAACCGAGCTATATTGGCTGGAACATATGTTCCTGTAGGTTCTACCATGCCAGGCAGGTCAATTGGAGACCGGTAAGACTAAAAGCAGCAACTCAAGGTCTGAGGGCGAAGTCGTACTGCTGACTGTAGAGGGGTGTGACAGCAGTAAGGTGTTTCCCTTGGACAACCAGCATCTGCAGCGGTGCTGCCATCTCACAAGGAGGGGTGGGGTTAGAAAAGGTCGACCCTAAAAATGTCACACCTCACCTTACCTCACGGATTTCCGTCTCCGGCGGTAAGGCCCTTTGATGAACGGAGCTAACACATTAAAAACCTCCCACAAGAAGGCCGTGCGCGACCGGCCTCAAGCAGTTGTCCCTTGGGCTCTGCGGTCACGCTCCCAGGTCGTTAAGACCAACAATAATCTGATTTCCTTTTCAGGTTCCTCTAGAAATACCCTTCCACGGTGTGGGCAGCCGGGAAGTGATATAAGCCCTCATACCCGTAACAGCACACGAGGCGAAGTTGGCCACATTCAAATCCTTCGTACACCTCCTAATACCTCTCTTATCTCCATGACTAACCTTCCTCACGTCTGTTTATCACCTCGTGCCGCTAGTGCAAACGATTCGAGTACGCGGAACGCTATTCCTGGTCTCCTGAAACCACGTTCTAAACTACACGTAGGAGCGTTTAACGTCCGAACACTGTGCCAAATAGGACAATAGGCTTCCTTAGCTAGGACTTTAGAATCTCGCGCCATCGATGTGTGCTGCGTCTCCGGAACGCGCGTACAGGATCCGAGTAGCATCATTCGTCGTTGCCTATTCGTCGTCTCTGCCTATTCTCCCACTAACTGCAGCCCACTAACTGCAGCACTAACTGTAGGAGATGAGTATTACAGAAAGATTTCCGACCTTCTCCGAAAAGCTAGACGCTCTGATGTAGTAATAGTGGCCGGTGACTTTAATGCTCAAGTACGTAAGCCAAACGAAAGGGAAAGACACCTAGGTGGATCTTATGGTGTCGTGGCTCAAAGAACAGATAATGGCGACCGTCTGTTGCAGCTATGCTCAGATAACCGCCTCTTTCCTGCAAATACTAACTTCAAGCATAAGGAAATACATCTTTTAACATGGCGACTCCTTAATTCGTCCCAACGTTGGACCCGAATAGATCACGTCACCATCAGCCACAGATGGAGGGGCTCGATAGAAGACTGTCGCTCATTCTGGAGCACATGCTTAGATTCAGATCATGCTCTAGTACGAGCGCGTATCTGTCTGCGTCTTACTGGACGTAAGAAAGACGCTGCAAGTAAACCTCTTAGGGCCCTACTTAATGATAGTCAAACTAAGAGTATATTTCAGGAACAACTAGAAAAACAGTTAGTTAGCCATGTATGTGATGCCCACCCCGAGGCAGCATGGAATGATATCCGAAAAGCTGTGGAAACAGCAGTGATATCTGCTAGTACGGTAAACTGTAGGGTTAGGGAGGAACACTGGATCTCAGCAGCATCTATCACATTGATAGGTGCTCGGAAACTCATTCCTCCTGGGTCTGAGCATAATGAAGGGCGGAGTCAGCTTAAGCGCAAGCTGACAAGAAGTCTACGCAATGATCGCGAACAGTGGTGGGTAGCGAAAGCAAAAGAGATGGAAAAGGCAGCGGCAATAGGTAATAGCAGACAATTGTTCAGACTTGTTAAGGAAACCGGTATTAGGAAACCGATAGTTAGCGAAACAATTTTAGAGAAAAACGGACATATTATACATTCTCAATCCAGGAGATTGGATCGATGGGCAGAACACTTTAGGGATCAGTTCAACTGGCCTTCAGCCACACTTCGGTTTCCCACGATCTCTGGTCAACTTGAATGGCAAGTTAACGTAGGTCCTCCGTCTCTTTACGAAGTTGATAAAGCCATAGGAAATCTGAAACGAGGGAGAGCAGCAGGCCCTGACAGGTTTACTCCTGAGATTTTTAAGGATGGTGGTCCAGTATTAGCAGTGAGATTAACTGAGGTCTTAGGTAGAATTTGGGAACTCGACGTAATCCCATCTGACTGGTCTCAATCACTGATTGTGCCAGTCTATAAGAAAGGACAAAAGTCCTCTTGTAACAATCACAGAGGAATCAGTTTGACAAATATAGTGTCTAAAATATTAGCCTCAATAATACTTCGACGCCTAACTAAAGCTCGTGAAGAACAGACTAGAGTAAATCAGGTTGGTTTTCGACCTGGACGTGGTTGTATAGACCACATATTCACACTAGGTCAGGTTCTAGAACACAGACACACGTTCAGACGCCCCACAATGGTAGCATTTCTCGACCTTAAGGCGGCATTCGACTCTGTCGATCGTGAGGTTCTATGGCAGTGTTTGTCACTGAAAGGAGTACCAAAGAAGTACATTAACCTTATAAAGGCTCTCTACTCGAACACAACTGGTAGAGTGGGAGCTTATGGCAAACTGTCATCAGAATTGATTACCTCAAGTGGTGTTCGTCAGGGCTGCCCACTCTCTCCATTCTTATTCAACTTTGTGGTCGACGTACTTTTAGAGATAACACTTTCCTCGTCTAAATTTCCAGGGGTTGAACTTCTACCGGGAGGTTCACTTGTTGACTTAGAATATGCTGATGACATAGTTTTATTTGGTGAAGACGCTGACAAAATGCAGTCTTCTGACCACTCTAAGCAACAATGCAAGCATGTTCGGGATGCGATTCTCTCCCTCGAAATGCAAAACGTTGCTTCAGGATTGGGTTACATCGACACCTGAACTAATGATAGGGAGTGAAGTAGTTGAGTGTATCGACCGCTTCACTTATCTTGGAAGTCTGATCAGCCCTTGTGGTCTGGTGTGTGACGAAATCTCAGCACGGATACAGAAGGCTCGACTAGCCTTTACCAACTTGTGTCATTTATGGCGTAGGCGAGATATCCGTCTATCAACCAAAGGACGTGTTTACTGCGCAGCAGTTCGTTCCGTCCTACGTTATGACAGTGAAACATGGCCGGTAAGAGTAGAGGATATCAGTAGGTTACTAGTATTTGACCATAGGTGTCTTCGAAATATTGCTCGTATATCCTGGGACCATCGAGTAAGTAACGCAGTTGTTAGGAAACGGGTACTAGGTAAGGATGGCAAATCAATTGATGACGTAGTGAAACTTTATCAGTTGAGATGGCTGGGACACGTGTTACGTATGCCCAACGACCGACTACTCTTTAAGTAACATCTCCAAACACTAATTTTCCCGATTACTGCTTATACTCTTGTTACCTCTACCACTACGGGATTTGAATCGACCACTACATCTGTGTGCTAATGTGGTGTGGCAACTCGAACTGATGTACGTACGTACGAAGTTCTACGTTGTTACTGACTGACTGACTGTAACTAAGTAACAACCATATAGTCTCACAGAATTGCTTTCACCATGTTTGGTATTATGTCAAATCAACGAGTCACAACATCAGTTATACTCCTACCATTTCATTAGCTAAAATGCACAAACATACCCTAACATAACACTGATATATTTTACGTGATTTGATTGTTTTTTTTATCCTCTGAATATTTGAAGAATGTCCAACCCACTTCACCTGTTAATCTACTTATAACATATAAGCATTATCTGGTAGACAATATGAAGTGTTCTTTAGGAAAATGACTCTTTCAACTGCTTACACAGACGAGCTCTTTTCATTTGAAAAAATTCTTTCCGATTGTATTTTTTCTAATTGAACTGCTTCTTCCATTATTATTGTTATTATTGTCATATCACTCTAATACACTAATTTTCATCCTTTTTCGCTCTTTTTTTATTATACTCACCTTCGTTTTCTATATTTTCACAACCTCATTGTTATTGTTTGTCGCATATATATTTTGGTGCTCCTTTGTACTAATGTTTATGCTTCCAGGTTTTTCATGGTGGTCTAGCTTCAATTGACTCATAAATTTAACTATGAAATAAATAATAATAAAATAAATGATTGACATGCTTTATGGTTAACCAATGAAGTCATTTTTGTTTATTTTCCATGTTAGTATTTTAATACTAGAAGGGTTTGCTGGGTTTTTTTCAAAAATTACCAAATGGACATTTTAGTGCAGCAAACAAGTAAGAGAAATTTTACTATATGCTAAACTTGAATTGAAAGGTACATAGTTGTCATTGTAGAAATATTAGCAGCTTTCATTCAATCTAATTAAAAGTATCTTGATACAACCTACTATATAATTAAAATATATCATTATAGTTTGTTTGAATGAACATGAATTTCACTTCCTAATTTTTTTCTGAACAATAGTTGCTATTCACATAGACTGTTTCTGTACTATAAGCACCGTTATTAATGAGCAGCTCAATTGTCATTTACCAGAAATATTTTGTTTTTTTCTTAAGTAATTCAAACAACTCATCCAGTATAATCTTTTCTAAGATTTTCAATCGTTTTAATTATGTATTGTAAAAATGGAAAACTATTTGATTCCCTTTTTGCCTCATTTTTATTTACTCTTGTGTTAAATGCGTATTGGAATTAAGAGAGAGAAACACTATTATTTTCGGAATTAACGGATGGTATGACCCTATCTCAGATTGATAACAGACTTAGTGATGTGATTTCATGTAAATCTCCTTGTACTTCCTTATTTTATTGTACAAATAGGATAAAGTTCATAGCCAACTGACTTTTCTGTAAATATCTGAGCCAGTTTGCGAAGATTTAATCAATTAGAAAATCATATTGTATTACATGCGATTGGTATTAAACCATAAAGGCTCTGAATTCGTGGGTGCGTACTA